GCCCGGGTCTCTGTGTGGAGGGGCCGAAGGGAGTCCGGTCCTTGCCTGCGGGCGCCGGCCCGGCCTGGCGCGCGTGGAAAGTCGGGTGGGTTCCCGGTGCCCGACCTCTTGGGGCCGGTGGGGCTTTCCCTCGTGGCAACTTCACGAAGCCTGGGAGACGTACAACTAGGAAATTACTGTTTTTTTCCAACCGTGTAGGCGATCTTGTTACAAATTCTTCATACTATTGCCCTTTTTGAGAGAGTGGGTTGTTTATTTACAGTTTAAAGAATTAAATATTAAGAGTTACACAGACTGGAAAACTTATTGCGAATATGCTGCGCTGACAGGTGTTCCTCCCCCTCCCCCCTCGTTTTTGAAAGTATTTATGGATGCGAGACAGTAGCAATCTTAACTTAGAGCCCCTCCCCCCGTATAGTTTGGCATGTTAAAGTCATGATGCTTTGAGACGGTATCGTTAGTTACTATAGTTACACTTAATATTTGATATATTGGAAATGAATGTAAACAGAGTAAATGTGTTTGAGCTAATATTTCAATGATTTTAAGAAGCTAAATCAAGGGAACCAGCAGTTAGCGTAATGGCTATGTCACTGGACTCCCACGTAGTCGACCTCGGTTTGCGTCTGGGAAACTCACGCTTAAAACTCACGCCGGGCGCGTGTGCGTGGGTGCCCAAGATCCCGAGAGCAGAATGGAGGAGAAAGGATTGCAGCATGACCATCCCCCCTGGGGGGTGATTTCTTGCTTTCTGTCTCTGTGTCTCTCTCTCTCTGGCGAGCGCAAGCGCCCTATAGCGAAAAACCTCTCCAAAAAAAAAAAAAGAAGCTAAATCAAGGTTATTGATTTAAGTACATAATGTGCAATCCCCCCAAGAGTGCATCAATTAATAGTTCGATGTTGGGGGCCGGCAGATGGACTGGTGGTTGGGTCACTGGACTTGCACGGAGCACATAGAGTCCTGGCCCTGGAGGCTTGCTTTCTCACTTTCTCTCTCTCTCTCTCTCTCTCTCTCGTCAAAATTAAAAATAAAACAGTAAATAAAAGTGCATAAAATAATTCTTAAAAAAATTGGATTGGGAATCAGCAGTTAGCATAATGGCTATGTCACTGGACTCCCACGTAGTCGACCGCGGTTTGCGTCCCGGACCTGGTGGCTTAAAACTCACGCCGGGTGCATGTGAGTGCGTGCCCAAGATCCTGAGAGGAGAATGGAAGAGAAGGGATTGCGGCGTGACCATCCCCCCTGGGGGGTGATTTCTCGCTTTCTGTCTCTATGTCTCTCTCTGTCTGTCTGGCGAGTACACGCGCCCTATAGCGAAAACCTCTCAAAAAAAATTTGGATTTAACCACTATCTTTCATTTTTAATGTATAAAATAAGGGTACTTATCCATCTCTCAGAGTATTGTGAAGATTACAGAGTTCATGTGCTTTGATACCTAGAGCTCTTTAGATGAAAAGTGTTGCAGCCAAGAACATGGAGTAATTAAAAAGATAAGAACTTTGGGAGCAATTGTTAACTGGTGACTAGCCATGTCATCCTGGAGGCCTGGAAACCATCTGTTCAGGTGATAAAAGGGGGGTAGTGGGATTTTTGAAAGAGATGGGCTGTCAGAGCCATTGAAGCCCTTGATAGATTTTGTTTCTAGCATTTTGTATGGACCTATGTTGTAGTACTCACTTAGCACTCAGTTTTAATACTTTTAGAAGAGAATCTGGAGGTTTTTGTTCTGTTTTGGAAGGACTGGGGACACATAGGAGATAATGCCAAAGGCCAAGTTGAACAACTTTGAATTGAAGTAGAAACTCCGTTTTTAAAATTTGTTATTTCATGAGAGAGAGTGAAGGACCTTTAACAAAGTCTTCGCACTGCAGTCTTCCCCCTCAGGCCTGCAATTAGCCATGATCATGGGTGGGCACACATGCTCCCATTCCATGCACTTGGGGATTCAGGGAGACCTGAAACGTGAACCTGGCATATTCTCATGTGACTTCGAGCATCATGCAGCAGTGCCTCTACTGCCCTCGCCACTCTGACTGGGCTGGAAGCTCTCATTGTAAGTTATCAGAGAATCCCTGCCCTTGCAGAGTGAGTCATTAGGCAACCTGGAGGAGTTGGGGTAGTGTGGACAGTTATTCCATGGCGATTTACAGTTTTCACAGTGGTGGTTGCACATTTACCACACTTATTTTGAGCTCTCTTCATGGAGATTTATTTTGATCCAGAAAGACATTTTTGAAGAATGGAAGATATGTGATAGTAATCTCTTATATTTGGTTATTTCTTTAAATTTTTCATAGCATTTTTATATTCATAATATTTAATCCATATAGCAAACCTTTGAAGTAGGTTGGATTTATAGACATAATCCTATTTTATAGATGAGGATGCTAACACAGTTTGCCACATGGAGGGCTATGACAGGAATTACTGACTGAGTTTTCAAGTTACCTTTTTTTTTTTTTTTTTTTTTTTTTAAGAGAGATTTTTGTTACAGGGCATGTGTGCTTGCCAAAGAGCAGACAGAGACAGAAAGCGAGAAATCATCCCCCCGGGTGTATGGCCACACTGCAATCCCTTTTCCTCCATTCTGCTCTTGGGATTTTGGGCATGCATGCACACATGCCCGGCATGAGTTTCAGGCCTTTGGGTCTGGGACTTGAACCACAGTCGGCCATGTGGGAGTCTAATGATGTAACCATTATGCCATCTGCTGGTCCCTGATCATTACTTTCTTTCTTTCTTTTTTTTTTAAAAACACTTATTTATTTGTTTATCTATTCATTTGTTGTGATTTTTAAGCTGCTGGGTCTGGGACTGGAACCACAGTCCGTCATTTGGGACCCAGCACCTATGCACTATACCACCTGCTAGCTCTTGATCATTACTTTCTAATAATAAGGTGTAGCTACCATTTCTGAGGTCATAGTGTTTGCCAGGAAATCTAAATATACACTCCATTATTTAATCATATTAAGAAATAGCAATCCTGGCTTTGCCACTTGCTGTACTAGATCTACATTTAAATTTTTCATGTGTAAAATGAACTCCGGGTGTTTAAATGAGGTCATATGTAAAGCACTTAGCACAGTGCTCCATGTGTTTGATAATGTTAGTATTTTTAATTTATGTTTTCTTTATTAATGAGGTTCAGAGAGGTTAGCTAACTCGATTAGGTATAGAGGATGTCAGAACCCTGGGTCTGATTGACTGCAAAGGCTGTGAACCCTCTCATGGTGTACAGTGATGCTTCTTTTTTTTTTTTTGGAGAAGTTTTTGCTATAGGGCGTGTGCGCTCGCCAAACAGAGAGAGACAGAGAGACAGAAAGTGAGAAATTACACCCCAGGGAGGATGGCCACGCAGCAATCCCTTCTCCTCCATTCTCCTCTCGGGATCTTGGGCACGCACGCACACGCACCCAGCGTGAATTTAAGCCCCCAGGTCCAGGACTCGAACCACGGTCAACTACGTGGGAGTCCAGAGACATAGCCATTATGCTAACTGCTGGTCCCTGCTAAGTTATTTTCTAAAAATTAGTATGAGTAGATCTTTTTAAATGCATATACTTTTTATTTATTTATTTATTTTTGGAGAGGTTTTTGCTATAGGGCGCGTGTGCTCCCCAGAAAGACAGAGAGAGACAGAGAGACAGAAAGCGAGAAATCAATCCCTGGGGGAATGGCAACGCCGCAGTCCTTTCTCCTCCATTCTCCTCTTGGGATCTTGGACACACACGCACACGCACCTGGCGTGAGTTTAAGCCACCGAGTCTGGGACTCGAACCGCGGTTGACGATGTGGGAGTCCAGTGACTTAGCCGTTATGCTAACTGCTGGTCCCAGTGATGCTTCTTTTTGAAACCTGCTTTCTTAGCATTCTGTTTAGTGTTCACTTTTTTCTCCAGTCTCCTGGTCTCCTTTGCTGTTCTCTCTCTCTCTTTTTAATAAAAAAGCTTATTTTTTGAGAGAGAGAAAGATGCAAGCACCGTAAACAGGGTCCACACCATGATCCCCAGCCTTTTACAGGCATATGTGCAATGCGTGCCAGATGTCTACAAGTTGACCCAGAAACTGAATCCCTAGTTTTCATGTGGTCTCTATCGTTGGAAGCCTTGTACTGCTCCTGCACCACTGTGGCTGGATCTGCTCGTTCTCTTTGTACCCCTGTAAGAAGGCCATTTTACTTTTTTACCTTGAACAGTTCATCATAGTGCTCAGACTCTTACATGATCATTCTTTGTTGCTAATGTTCAAGACTGTATGACAAACAGCAGCTACTGCTCAGGTGACATTTTTTATTTTTTTCATGGAGGTATACTTTTTCATTATCCCATCTAGTTTATTACTGGATCCTGTCAAATTTTCATTCAAGAGTCTGGATTAATTTTCCCCCCATTTTAATTCCCAAGATTACTCCTCCATTCCTGGGTTTTATGACTCTCATACTTGGTTGCAGTATTACCTTCTAACCAAGCACTTCAGGAATTAAAAAATATATATATACATATATATATATATTTGTGTTTTAAGGTTTTTGCCATGCAGTACATGCACTTGCCAGAGAGAGTTAGTGAGAGGGAAAGTGAGAAATCTTTCCTAAGGGGGGATGACCACTCTGCAGTCTCTTTTCCATTCTTCTCCTGGGATTTTTGGGCATACATGCACACGCACCCGGTGTGATTTCAAGGTGTGGGATCTACCAGGTCTGAGACTCAAACCATGATCAGCCATGTGAGAGTCCAGTACCTTAACCACCCTACCACCTATTGGCCTCTCAAAATATTTTAATAGCAGAAACATTTTAATCACAGAAGTCCTCTGTAGTAGGTACTGAGCATCAGAATCTGGTTCCCTGTCC